AACATATAGGTTTGGATGATCATAAATCTACTATTATATTTAATGATTCATAATTTTAAACTGAATCCATGTTAGAAGATGTATGTAATATTATGAGTCATGGAGAAATACCACATTTATTTCCACCTGAAGAAAGAATTAAAATATAAGAAGAAATGACATATCCAAAATTTGTTTTAAATTGTAAATTAAATACTCATGTTATATTATGTATGCAACCTGTAGGTACATAATTTAGAAAAAGATTAAGAATGTTTCCTACTATAATTAATTGTTCTACTATTGATTGGTTTATGAGTTGGCCTGATGAAGCATTAGAATCTACTGCTAGTTAATTCTTACCATAAAATTTAGTTAAAATTGCAGTAGATATTCATCACAAAGTTTTAGAAATTAAAGAAAGATTTACTTAAGAACTTAGAAGACATTTTTATGTTACACCTACATAATATTTATAATTATTAGCAACTTTTAAAAAGATTCATACTGAAAAAAATGAAAATTCAAGAATTTCTATTGACAAATTTGAAACTGGAGTTGAAAAAATTATTTAAACTGAAAAAGAAGTAGATAAAATTAGAAAAGTTTTATTTGAATTACAACCAAAATTAGAAAAGGCAACAGTTGAAAATCTTGAATTACTTAAAAATATCTAAAAAAAATAATAAGAAGCAGATTAAACAAGAATGATTTGTGAATCTGATGAATAATAATGTAGTTTAAAAAGAGAAGAAGCTAATTAATTAAAAGATATATGTAAGAAATAATTAGATAATGTATTACCTTTATTATCTAAAGCTACTGAAGCTCTTGAAAAAATTACTAAAGATGATATGATATTATTAAAATCATTCTAAAAACCTCCACCTTCTGCAGCTGTTGTTATGTAAGGTTTATGTTATGCATTCTAAGAAGATGAAAAAGTTAAAGGAAAAAATAATGGTAAAGAACCACCATAAATGGAAGATTTTTGGGAATATTCAAAAAAATATGTTTTAAATGATAAACTTATTAAAAGAATTAAAAAAATGAAAATTGAAGAAATTAGAGCAATTCATCCTAGTAAAATTCAAAAATTATCTGTTTTTATATAAAATCCTTTATTTGAAAGAGAAAAAGTATTTAATGCATCTATGGCTGCTGGTAATCTTGCTGATTGGATTAGAGCAGTCTATTCAACTTATGAAGCTGTTGAAATTATTGAACCAAAAAAAGCATAATTAGTTGAAGCAGAAAAGAATCTTAAATCAGCAGAAGAATAAGTTGAAATAAAAAGATAAGCATTAGCTGAAGCTATGCTTGTTTTAAATGTATTATCAGTAGAATATTAAAAAGCTAGAAAAGAAAAAGAAGAAATTGAAAAGAAGGTTTCTTAAATTTAGGCTTAATTAAATAGAGCTGAAAAATTAACTAATGGATTAGGTGAAGAAAAATAAAGATGGAAAAAAAAAGTTATTGCTTATAAATCAGAATAATCTAATGCTGATGGAGATTGTTTAATAAGTGCTGCCATTATATCTTATTTAGGTGTATTCCCAATATAATATAGAGAATAATGTTTATAATTTTGGAAATTAAAATTAAAACAAAATTAAGTAAATTTCTCTGATGATTATTCATTATAAGCATAATTATGTGATCCTATCTAAATTAATAAATGGATTCAATAAAAATTACCAAATGATTCATTTTCTATTGATAATGCTATTATATTAAAATAATCAACTAGATGGCCACTCATGATTGATCCTTAATTATAAGCTAATGAATGGATTAAAAATATGGAAGATATTAAAGTATTATTAATACTTAATTCTACATAATTACCTTAATAAGTATAATTATAATTAGAACATGCTATCTAAATTGGATATCCTGTTTTACTTGAAAATCTAGGATAAAGTATTGATCCTCTATATGAACCTATTTTATAATAAAAAATTATTAGAAAGTAAAATAAATGTTCTATTAAATTTGGTGAAAAATTAATTGAATATTCTAATGATTTCAGATTTTATATGACTACTAAACTTAATAATCCTCATTTTCAACCTTAAGTATGTGTTATGGTAAATATGTTAATGTTTTAAGTAACATAAGAAGGATTAGTAGATTAACTTTTAAATATTGTTGTCAAAATAGATGAACCATAAAAAGAAGAATAACGTATTAAAAATATTTAATCAAATTTTATAAATAAGAATAAACTTATTTAAACTGAAACTTTAATTTTAAAATTACTCTCTGAATCAAAAGGAGAATTGTTAGAAAATGAAGATCTTATATAAACACTTTAAAAATCAAAAGATGAGAGTCTTTCAATTGAAGAAAAATTAAAGGGCTTAGAATATGATAGAGTAAATTTCAATCAAATACGATAATTTTATAAACCAGCTGCAGAAAAAGTAGCAAGTTTATATTTTATATTGAATGATCTTGCTGTTATTGAACATACATATCTATGGTCTCTTGATTTCTATTTCTCACTCTATACAAAATCAATTAAAGAAGCTTAATATGAAAAATCTAAAAGAAATTAAAATATTATTGAAAAGTTCATATTAACTCTTTATACATAAATTAATAGATCTTTGCTAGAAAAGGACAAACTTATATTCAGATTTTTATTGTGTGTGAAAATGATGAATGTTCCAACTGATCTTATACGAGCCACTGTTATGGGTTGTACTCTTACATCAACTGATATATAAATGCCAAAAGGATTTCCTTGGTTAACTAGTAAAATGTGGTTAGAACTTGTTGATTTAACAATTTAATTTCCATAGATATTTGAGAGTATTTGTTCAGAATTTGTTGAATAGAAAACATTTTGGGATAATTTCTATTCAAGCTAAACTTGTTATAAAATGCAATATAAAGAATTAGATTAATATTAGATAAATATGCTAATTAAGATTATTAAACCTGAATAATTTATATAGGCTACAAATGAGATGATACGAAAATAAATAGGAAATGCATTTTTAGAAAATATACCTACTACTTTTGAGCAATTCTATTTAAAATCTGATTGTAAAATTCCATTGTTATGTTTGATTACACCAGGAGCAGATCCTAGATAAGAAATCATTAAATTGGCCTCGAAGTATGAATTTGAAGATAAATTCAATTAAATTTCTTTAGGTTAAGGTTAAAGTTAATTAGCTATAAAAATGATACTTAGTGCAATGTCTTAAGGTTCATGGGTTTTATTACAGAACTGTCATTTAGCATCTTCCTTTATGCCAGATTTAGAATAATTATTCGAGACACAATATAAGAAAGAAATAAATGCTGATTTTCGATTATGGCTCACTTCTTAACCAACTTCTATATTACCTCATAATGTTATATTGAAATGTAAATATAATAAAATAATAATTTTAGCTTTAAAGATAACTTATGAATTACCAAGAGGATTAAAAAATAATATGTTAAGATCTTATTAAACATTAGATGCTGATAAATTTGAATAATGTAAAAAGTTAAAAGAATGGAAAAATTTATTTTTTTCACTTTCTCTTTTACATGCTTGTTTATTGGAAAGAAAGAAGTATGGCCCATTAGGGTGGAATATTGGATACAATTTTTCATAACATGATTTAGAAATATCTAAAGAATAAATATTATTCTTTTTAGATTAATATTCTGAAATTCCTTGGGATGCTCTTCATTATTTAATAGCTGAAAACAATTATGGAGGTAGAGTAACAGATCCAATGGATAGAAAATTATTAAAAATTTATGTAGAAGATTTAGTGAATCATAAGACAATATCTTAAGATTATATTTTCTATGATATTTATTAAACACCTCCTTAAATGAATCTAAAAGGTTATATTGATCATATATCATAATTACCATTAAATGATCCTCCTTAATTATTTGGTTTACATGCTAATGCAGAAATATATTCAGCAATATTGGAAACTGAGAATTTGAGTTCTGTGATATTATAATTATTACCTAGAACTTAAGGAGATTCAGCTCAAAAACATACAGATAGTTTAGTATGTAAAAAAAGCTAAGAAATTCTTAAAAATTTACCATAATAATTTAATATTGAAGAAGTACAATAATTATTCCCTTTAACTTTGGACAATCCTTTGAATGCTGTAATCTAATAAGAAATTACTAAATATAATAGACTTTTAATTAAGATATAAGATTCATTAAGTGTACTTATTTAAGGTTTAGATGGATTTATTAATATCTCTGATTAATCTCTAGAGATATATAATTCTGTTTTTGATAATAAGATACCAGAATAATGGTTAGCCTTATCTTATTTAACAACAAAATCTTTGGGTTCTTGGGTGACAGATTTAAAATAGAGAATTGAATTTCTTAATTAATGGATTACAAAAGGATAACCTAGAGTATTTTGGTTAGGTGGACTATTCTTTATTTAAGGTTTCTTAACAGCAATCTTATAATAATACTCAAGAAAATCTAAAATTCCTATTGATTAATTAAGATTTGATTTTAAATTTCATCAGGATGAGCCAACAGAAAGTGGAAATCATGTTTTTGCAAATGGTATTTCTATTGATGGAGCATCATTTGATTTCTAAGAATCAACTTTAACTGAACCTTCAAGTAGTATATTATTTTATCCATGTCCTATAATATAATTTTGTCCAACCTAAGAAATTGTCAAAACTTATAAATATTATTCATGTCCACTTTACAATACTTCATAAAGAAAAGGTGTATTAACATCAAATGGACTATCAGTCAATTTTATATGTAAAATTAAAGTACCAATAAATAATAATAAAGAACATTGGTCTAAAAGAGGAGTGGCTTTAATTATACAAGCCAATTGAAGACTATAATTAATTATTCAAAATTATTCAAAGCAATTTATAACTATATAAAATTTCTATGTTAATCACCAATTCTTTAATTCAATTATTTCTTTAAAATTGAAGATTATAAGGCATAAAATATTGAATATAAACTAAAAAACATTAAATATTCATAAATTTAATATAAAACTCATGGTTAACCAGATTATTTCCTAAGATTAACACAAGTTTATCCATCACAAAATGGTACACTTTTTGTTAATTTGCATCCACATAATTCTAAAGAATCTGTTTCTTATTCTAAAGTAAATCTATATGGTTTGAATGATGTTCCTTAATGAGAGCCATCACATAAAGGCTAAATTAAATATTGTTATATACTTATTTCTAACTTAATCCACATGAACACCATCTATAAGTCTTATTAGAAACTTTAGGATCCTCTATTTTTATTGGACCTAGAACAGGTGAGGTTGGAATTGGAGTAAATTATTCAACATCAGGTTTATTATTTTGTTTATTCAAATGAATTACTTTCCCTGTCTACTCTAAATCTTTTAATTGAACAGTAAAACATCTTTTCATTAACAATCTTATCATTTTCTTATATTAATTTAATTCTTTAAAAAAATATTAAAAAAATTCATATAATGTTCAATATCATATAAATCATAAACATTTTTTTCATAATAATTTTATGTTTCTAAATGAATTTTTAATAAAATTGAATAAATTGATCGATATTCCATGTTAAAATCGTTTTGCATATCTCATTTATGCTTATCCATTTGATTAAACAGATGGAATATATAGATATTTATATCTGTTGCTATTAAAAAGCTCATTTCTTGTCATATTATTCAATATACATGTTATCTAGTATATAGAATAATTGAGTTACTTCAACTAGCAATTCAAAATTTAAAATAAAAGATAATCCTACATTGATTAAAAATACTATTGATTATAATCTACTATATTGATCTATCAAGAAAAATATATTTGGTATTGCAATAGCCAAAGAATTTATTTTTTCATAGTAATGCAAAAAAGTAAATAATAGATAAAAATTAATCAAGATTGTAAATGATAGAACAAATAAAAAATAAAAAAAATGATTTGTTGAATTAATGCATTTTCCAAAAAATTTAGAATGTAAATGATAATCTTTAACCTAAATCTAAATTCAAATAAATTACACACATATTGCAGCTTGAACAATGAAAAGTTCTAGGGAGCTTATAAGAAAGACATGTAAAACAAATTCTATTCCAATCTATTCTATGTAATAATTTAAATCTATTTGTTTCAAATAAAAAGTAAACTATATGAATGATAGTAAAACCATTATACCATAATGGATCATTTATTTCTAAAAGAGAATTTATTTCTTGCTTGAATTAATTGATTTTATTAGCAAATTTAAAATAATAAGAAGGTTTTGTATGCATTTAATCTATTAAATCTTCAACTGCCTTATAATTCAATTATAAAAAGTCTTTTAAAGTAACCCCTTCTAAAAAAGATGGAGTCATATCATTTTGATATAGATTAAATTTCATTTGACTTTCTTTCTGATATTTCTTTAAGAATTTTTATTTTTCATTTAATCCCTCTTCCTCTTCTTAATTATTATCTTCATTTTCTTCTTCCACTTCTACTTCAGCATCTTCATACTCATTCTACACTTACCCAAGATTCATATTTCCAGCCAATGGCATATATTCATCAGACTATAATTATTACTATCTTATAGATGATTTCTATTATCTTGTCTTTATTTCTGTTTGCTTAGATTCCTCTTCCTTTATAACAACATTAATTTATGATGTATTCTTATTTTACTCACTTAATTCTGGCATTCTTTTTTAAATGAGTTTAGTTCCTTAATTCTAATTATCAGTAGTTTTAAGCATAAACCATACAACATAAAATATCAAATATAGCATTCCAATAATAAAACTTATATCAAACATTAAACCTAAAAATCCATCATTTAAAGTCTAAAAATAAATCAATAATTTACTTTCTAAACTTCACTAATAATAAATAATATTAGTTCAAAAAATATGAAAAAAACTAAACTTCCAATCACTATATACTTTTAATATGTTTTAATTGATGTTTATATTTTTTAATATATTTGATATTATTAAAGCCATTTTTAAATTTTAGCCTAATTTATTAATTATTTAATTTTTTCATTTGAATTAACTACATCTAAATCAAGAGCATATTCAATTAACTTTGGATTTTCTCTTAATAAGAATTTGATACTATCAATAGAACAATTATTAATTGCTTTTGTTAAAGGAGTTTATCCTTATTTATCAAATAGATTGTATTCTAATTAAAAAGCATTATAAAATTAAAGCATAAAAACATCATTTTCCATTGCTGAAAAATGAACAAAGGAATTTCCAAAGGTATCTTATATATTTTAAAACTATCCTTTCGTTATTATATAAAATATTAAAGCATATTTTTTATTTTTTATTGCATATGACAATGGAGACATATTTGACAAATTAGTGTTATCTAAAGAGCAACCTTAATCAATCAAATATTTAGCAATATCAATAAAACCAAAATTACAAGCAATTGCTAATGCATTTTGTTTTGATTAAGTCAATAAATCTAGATTAGCACCTCTTTTTTTCATTAATTTTAAACCCTCCAGCTATCCTTAAGTTGCTAAATAATGAACAATGCCAAATCCTTGTGGACCAAAAGAATTATAATCTAAAATATCTTCATAACTAAAGATAATATCAAAATTTCCTTAGATTATAGTTTCCCATAAATCTATTGCATTTTCTTTTTCTTTTACAATGTCACATTCTTAGTTAATTTTTTTGTTACTTTCAACATCATTATCTTCTTATTTATTTTATTGATTATTATCAGATGCTTCATTTTATTCTAATGATTATTTTTCATTATTGATTTTAATAAAATCATCGGCCATTAATTATATAATGATTATTAATAATTTTAGAATTCAAAATAGAAAGTAATGATTATTATCTATAGTGAATTAATATTTTTGTAATTAATAAATAAAAATGATAAGAATGCCAATATTATTGTTTTTTTTATGAAAACTTATATAATTATTTTTTAATGATAATCATAATAATAATGATATATAATTCTGTTTAAAAGTAGAGTAAAATAAAAAAAAACAATTTTAGATAATGTTTTCATTCTTTAGTTTCTAAACCACTATTATGTTTAAATTTATTTTAATAAATATTATGAAATTAGAGAAATAATATATATTTAAAAAATAAAAGAATACAAAAATTTGGCAAGTATTTTATAATTTTGTATTAAATCCATCTAATAATCATGAATCTATAATTTATACTATTTTCTATATCTGAATATTAGAGTTTGTAATATAAATTTTTTTTTTCTTCATATTTGAATAAATTATTATGTTATTTTTTCCAAAGTATGTTTACTTCTTTTCATAAGAAGGTTCTATGCATATTTAAACAATCTATGATATTTAATCTTGAAGTGAAATATCACTTGATACAATGAGAATTGTCTTCATGATTTCTTCCCAATTGATATACTCCCTTCACTGTTCTTATATTTAAGTTTCACTCTTAAAGTTAAGACATGATTAACACAGTCATATTAATCAGATTATTCAGTTTGTATGATTATCATAAATAGTTGATGCAAATCACTATATTTAAATTTATTCAATTATATATTATCTTAATCATATATATTTGATCCCACATTATTTGTTTGTGTGCTCAATAAAAGTACTAGCTAATTCTTTCGAAATCTAATTTATTCCAAAGTAATTGGCAAAGTTCTATTCAATCTATTACAAACTTAATTGTTTTCTGTTAATAATATATGAAATTATATATCTTTCAAAAATTTTGTTTTTCGATTTTATTTCTTATTCATATTTAATTTATATCTAAGCATTAAATTTTTATCCATTGTAGTTAGTTAAGCATATTGATATAGATTAGGTTTGCATAACATCTTAATAAAAATTATAAGATTTAAGACCATCTGCAATCCAACCTATAGGAAATGTTTGAGATTATTAAACATAATGGATAATCATGTCTGAATTTATACCCAACATTTTTAACCAACATTTATTTACTATTCGATTACAACCAATTACATTTTAATTATGATCAACAATAAATTCAATAATTTCTTGTGGTATCTCTAATTATTTTGGTGAAAATATATTTTTTTAATTCTCAGAACATACTTAAAAGTTTGAAACTTACTCTAAAAATAAATAAAAAGGAAAATTTATTTTTAATTCAAATATTTTATTTTATTGAAAAGGCAAGCTGTGAACTATAAGTTCATTTTTTTAGTTTTATATTGCTATTATTTTAAAATAATATGAGTAAATATCTAAAAGCAAATACCCAAATCTCTGTCTATATTTTTCGTTTGTATTAGAAACTTCTTGTTACTATTTTTCTTATTCAGCCAAAGGCCTTATTAATTCACAAATATATTTGGCTTCGTTTTTAAGCTTGTTTGAGTATTTTTATTCTTTTTGAATAGCTTTCCTTTCCTTTTTTGAAGTCACTCTCTTAATTTGCTTATTAAGTAGGTTGTTGAATTGAGACAAATCCAAGGAAGGATTGATGGGATAATTCATTAAAATTTTTAATTATCATCATCAAAAGTTAAAGGTAATGATTTTTAAACCAGAAAAATTGATAATATTGCATCATTTTACAATAAAGATTTAGGATTTTATAATTCAGGTAAAAAAAGATTAAAAAAATTTTCAAATAAATCGTATGAATGAAGCCTTTAATTAATTAAATTTAGATTATAATTATATAAGCAATTAGTAATTAAAAAATATTAATCATCAAATTTAATGATCTTAATTAATTGGAACCAAGTATTCTCGGTAATCATGCATATGCATAATTAAATTTGAAAAAGTTTGACTATCTAATTTAATTGAAAACAATTAATAAAATATTAATGATCTCACTAATTATAAAGATGATTGAAAAATAAATAAAACATTATCATCATGGATTTTTCAAATTTAAAGAAAAATGATCTATAAAAAATCCAGAAGGCTGCTAAATAAATTACTAATTTAATATGAACTTGATTTAAATCATATTTCTCCATTCTTTTATTGATTCCCAATCAATCAATAATACTAATGGAGAAAAAAGATTCCTTATTTTCATAACAACCTTCTTCTAGCTTTGACATTATCAATTTGATTTGTATATTTTATCTTATTTTTCGATCTTTATGAAGTTTTCAAACAACTTATCATTTATTTTACTTTTCTTAAGCTTCCTTATGATATTAAGATAAGCACTAATATATTCAGATATCCTTACTTCACTTTAGATAAGTAATTTCAAAATCATCATTTTATCACTCTCATTTCTGAATGATTAATAAGCCATCATTAATTTAAGTATGAAAGCTTTCATTCTAGTTCCTGTCACCAAAATAAGATATCTTCTACTTAAGTTATAAGTAATGATATCTAATTTTTATCTCAAAGTACAATAACTCAAGATAGTTATTCAAATATTCAGTCATAAAATTTATTAAGAAGAGGATATCTATAGAAATTTTTCAAATATACATTTCTAATTTTGGATAAGATAGATTTTAAATCGAATTTTTTTAGAGATTTATAATACTTATATAGCCTTTCACTAATTTAAAAAGGATATAAGCAATTATATTCTCACGTCAGTGAACCATTTTAAATTATTATTACAAATTTTTGATTCTCTTCATTGGAAGTATATAATAATTGTTAAAAGGATTAGATGAAATATAATAAGTATTATATACATATTTATGTAATAATAATATGTAACAAACATATAAAAAATATATTTGAGATTATTATATAATATAGTAGCATTATTGAGTTATAAAAGTAATTAGAAAAATAATCCAGATTTAAGCAAATTTTTTTTCTCATTAAAATTTGATCTCTCATTCAAAATTTATAGAGAAATGTAAATATATTAAAAATAGCTAAATCTTGTTTAATATTTTTCATTGAATTATTGTAAAATTTAAACATAATGAAATTTAATAAATATTTTATATTAAATTAGATATTGAATGGTTTAATGATAATCAATCATAATAATGTATTAATCTTAAGTTCAGATATAAATAATTATTTTTTTCTTTTTCCTTATATATGTTGAATAAAAATAGTAATTTATGGTAATCTTATTGATTAGCATATATACCATATAAATTATTGATGCTTTGAGATCACATACAATTGAAATTTATATATGTGTATATGTGTAAATTAAAATTATATTTTTTTCAAATCAGTTACACTTCAAATGCAAACAAAAAAATGATTGCGAATTTAAGGTTTAATTTGTTTGGCTTTGATTTACTTATATTCATTTGATTTTCTTTAAAAAATAATAAATTTCTTTTTGTAAAATTTAAATTCTCTAAAATTTATTATAACTGCATAAAAATAAGTATTATTTTATATTGATAAGACATGATATTGAAAGTATCATAATCATCCATCAAATAATTTATTTACTCAAAAGAATAATAACTAAAATTCTGATTAAAATTATTATTATATATTATAATAATTTTTATTATAATTAATAAAGTATGTTTAGTATAGAAAATTTGAATGGAATCTCTTTAAAGATAATAATATCAATTAATATAGTAATAAGTTTTTATTTAAATATCTAGTTAAAATATTAATGTTTAACATTTTTTATTTAATGTTATTAAAATGAAAAGTTAATATAAATTTAACATTTTAGCAATTAGAATATATAATTAATAATTAAATATATAAATTTAGTTTGTCTTATACTAATTTGATTTATAAAAGTATATTTACTTTATTTAAGTTTCAAAGATCTATACATAAGACAAAAGAATTAGTAATATATATAATTTATAATGCATATATTGATTTCATGATCTAGATCTTAAATATGGAATAGAATTTGGCTAATCATCTGAACAGTCAACATCTACTATAGAGTGAGATCTCTTATAATCAGGTTCTGAAACTTAAAGATTCAAACTTAACTTTTAATTAAAGATTTAGTCTAATTTAGTTTGATCTTTATTTAAAGTGTAGAATAATTCAATTATATCTTCATCTAAAATTTCAATTATATTTTTATCTATTTAACTTAATTCTTTTTTCTTTTTTAATTTTGCAAAAGATTTAAAGGCTTCTTATAATTTTATGAAATCTGATTTTTCATCTTATAATATAAATTAATATGCTTTTTTTGATTCTATTTCTTTAACTTTATTTTCTGCATCATTTCCAAATAATGCAGAAGGAATGACAGGTTTTGGTAAATAATTAAATAATTATAATTGATCTTCATTCAATAATACCAATTTCAATTTATCTATCTCATAAATTTTAGATATAATATAGGCAACATCTAATTTAGACATAAATTTATCAGTTGCATATTAGATTTACATTTATTCTTTTTTCTTACAACCAAAACTCATAACTATCATATCTCTTAATGTTAAATTTAAAGATTATTTTTTAGATTTTAAAAATTAACTCATAGTTTTAGAATCTTATATTTTATCAAAATTCTTTGACTTAAGAGATTTTCCTAATGATTTTGAAAATGAAGATTTTTTAATATCAAAATCTAATACTCTTTAAGATGATTATTATTTAGGAGATTAAACAATATAATTTTCTTACACATTTTGATCATCATCAAAACAATCAGTTGCATCTTCAAATCTGAATAATTTATTTGCCATTTAGAGATTCATAAATTTTTAAATCAAAGGTCTTAAAATAAAACAAATTGATAAAAATAAAACTTAATAAAGTCCTCCTATTGTACTTAAAATGGCTTATACTTTAGCATAAGATCTAGAATATTCAGCCTATCTTTAATCTAAAGTTATATAATGGAGAATTAAAAATTGATCATTATATTCCTCTTATGACTCACGATTAGTGTATTAAATTAGACTTGAAGATTCAGTTTTATCATCAGTAATAAGTCCATTATCGGTTATAACATTAGTTACTTTTAAATTTTAAATTATTGTTTTTGAATTTGCTATTGACATTGTTGTATATTAAAGCGAGATATATTCTGAAAACGGATAACCTGGTTGTTTCATTTATACTAGATTATCTGACAAATGAACCACATAATATCCTGTTTTTAATTCTTTTTAAATGCTTTCAATAGGTGCACATTAATTATAAGAAGTAGAGTTCCTACATTCCTAAATCATAATTGTAATGTATTAATAAGTTTTTCCAGCAATTTGACCTTGTAGAATCTAATGAATATCTATCATAAGTTACTGGAGGAGTATTTTGCCATTATTCATAATTCAGACATTATGTATAACCTAAATTAATGGATGAGAAATATTATTTTTAAATATTTGTAACAAAATGTTTATCACTGCATGCTTCTGTAGGGTATTCAGTACAACTTTTATATAAAATCTTAAGATACTTCTGTTATATTTTAGTTTTCCCTGTTTTTTCATCAATTACTCTTAATCTAATACAATTTTTCACTGTAAGAGTAAAATGTGTATTTAAAGTTGAAAGAGCATTCAAACTTAGATTTGCAACTGAAATTGCCATTGTAAAGTTATTCATCAATAAAGGAACAGGCTTTAATAATTAAATACTCTTACAGCTGTATCAGTCATTTAATACTCTGAAAATACAACAATTGGGCTTTTTCGATCATATAATTATTTGATTTAATATATTAAATAAAGTATACAGATTGTCGTGATTGCTGATGAACAAAAGAAGCCAGTTGAAGTAGTGAATTTATTTTTTTTTAAAATCCTTAATACAGGAGGTTATCCAAACACATCTAATCCACTCAAAAATCCCTATAAACTATTTTTTAGCATATTTGAATTCTTTTTTTGGTATTTTAACATATTTTCAATATTTGATATTCTTTAAAAGCAATTATTTATTTTAACATAATTTCCTTTCATAATGGATTTTACAAAGACTCAAACTAAAGATATCAATAATCCTAATAAAAATGAAGATGATTCTTATGTAAAAGAGATGAAATGTATAATCAAACCTTACTCATTTAAGCTAGATTATTAATTAAAAAACATAAGGGAGCGATTGGTGAAGAAAATTTAGGCAATTTCTATATCGAAGATGAATAAGACACTGATAGATAAATAAGGTTTAGATTAGAGTATTCAGTTAATTTTTGGGTAAATAAACAAACCTTATCAAATTTAGAGTGCATTACTTTTAGCAGCATTTGTATCAAGATCTATATATCCATTTAGTGTTAGATTTGTCAAAAATAGATTAAAACTTGAAGGCTTTCTCAATATTCATATGGTTTTTTTTATAACTTTATTTTAGGCAATCTTACCTTTTATATTTCTAACAAATGGTTTTGTCTTAGGAGTATATGAAGGTTTATGGGCAAAATATTGGTTTGATAAAGAAGTAGAGTTTAAAAGAAAATAATATATAAAATTATGATGATGGGTCACAATAATTGCATTATGTTCTTTTAAATTTAAACTTATCACCATTTTTAATAATTAAACAAATAGTCTAATTAATTTTAATAATATAAATACTTCTATTATAGTGTTCATATTTATGTTAAACAAATATTAATTTCAAAATTTTCTACATACAATAATTTTGGAATATATTATTATTTTTTTTAAATCTAAGAAAGTCTAATGGTTTTCAATAAATTTCCTTATTTTTCTATTTAGATTTAATTCATTAATCGATTCAACCAATTATAACAAAGAACTTTAGATATTAATTAATATTTAAAAATTCTATATAATCTTGAAAGTTTAGAACAAAGAAATATTAATTTAAGAGAGCTATTCAAGATTCACTAATAGAAAAATTAGAAAATAATATTGAATTAGGCGATTCTAAAAATACCTAGTATAAATAATAAGAAATATTTTCTATTAACATTTTAACTTTTTTATTTATTAATCCTTACACTTCTTTTATTATATTTACTGCTTGCATTAAAAATAATTCTAAAATATTATTTTTTATTATCTTAGAATTTTGAAATTAAGGAAGTCTAGGAATAATTCACTCTTTGAATAACAATGAATATTTTCATTCTAGAGATATATATTTTAAAGAAAATAAATATATTATTAGTAATTATTAATATAGATAAATAAAATATGATTTAAATGAATTATCATATATAATAAAGAAAATAATATAATAATTGATATAAGTGGAAAATATAATATCTTTTGTGTTAATTAACATAATTCATTTTTTAAATATGCTTGTTGAGTTGTAGAGTTATGATTGATATTCTTATTGTTTAATGTTAGATACAAATAAACCATCTTATTGTTTAAATTGATCAAGAAAGTCAGAATTATTTAATTAAAATGAATTAAATAAATTTAGGTTTGGTTATTAATTAGATTGAAATGGTAACATAAATTAAGCTGAAAATTATAGTTATTGATTTTATTAAAAATTACCTGATTAAAATGTTTACTCTTATTGATAAATTTCTTATTATTATTATTATTATTATTATTATTATTATTATTGTTATTCTTTAATTTAAAGTTTATCATTTTTTTTTTCAGTTTTAGAATCATTACTTTAGTAAGGAGGAGATAATTAAATGATTGAATCTACCAATGCATTATAATCAAGTTAGAGATCTTGTTTACCATCCTTTGGTAATTTCATGAGTTTACAAAATAGTTTATTTATAATTCTTGGAGCAGTTCTTAATGCTCCATTCATATAGGTTTATCGCCAATTTTCAATGAACTTTTTAAAACTATAAATATTTGATAATTTATTTACTCTTCATTACAATATGATTAAATATGTTCAGTTATAAGTAAAATGTCTTAATCATTGGATTCATTAAAAAAACATTTAATTGTGTATCCACAACATACTAAAAAGAGTAATAACTTTTTATATCCTTCTAGGTTATAGATCTAAGAATTAAAATAGAATTACTTCAGAATTTGACAAAAAGTCTTACTTAAAATATTATATGAAATTTTAAATGAGAGGATCATCATCAAATCTCCATTTCTATGATTCAATAATATGGAGAAAGAATATGACCTCGAGTTCATTGAACATAAACTTTTTCGTTACTCCTCTAAGCATTTTGAATAAAGGTTAGGCAGTAGCAGCTTAAGAAGCACTTTCTAAAGAAGCAAAACGGCTTAGCATTTAATTAATGAGAAATGAGTAGTATTAATCTCTATATGCAATGCATTTAGTATCATATTCTTTTTGTAAAACAACTTTGTTTTTTTTTAATTCATTTTTAGGATGAGTTTATTAGATATCTCTATATGATTAATTAGTTTCATCTTAAGTTGCTATAAATCGTTTATTAAGAGGTTCTTCATATAATTGAGTAAAATTTTCTAAACTAGTTCTTGGTGTTTCTTTTACTATGTATGTAGGGTATTATTTATTCATCTAAATTGTATTTATAAGTATATTATAAAATTTAAGTTAAAGTAAATCATTTATATTAAATATTAGTTACTTCTAAGGAATGATCAGAATATTAATTAATTTTATCAAAGTTCTTAAATTTAATATGAATGCTTTATCAAATAGAAAATTATAATCTCAAAGACTTTCTTAAATTAATTGATATAATAATAACACAAAAATTATTTAATAAAATAATAAAAAAATTGATCTTATGGAATAAGCATTACTTCATTGTTATTCTGGATTTCCAGACATGGATAATAAATACTATGATATTTAATCAAATTCTGATGACATCTTTTAAATAAATTAATGTTATACTTGATTAAATAGAATATTTAAGTCGTCAAATTATTTCATAATATCATTAACAAATAAATCTTCGTCAAAATTTTAGCCATCATTTTATTTATTTTGTGTCTCTGGTTTTGCTGCTTCTTATACTTTTTATAAATCTTATTCACGCTAATTTTCTGCTTATCCTCTTTCTAATATATGATATTTATCTTGTGATTTAGGAGGTGGTTATTATTATTTTGAGATATTTCTTGATTTTTAATTCTTATTTGAACAACAGGCCCCCATTAATTTTATTTAATTTTAATAATGCAATCTATATTGAAATATTTAGAAATGTAAAGTATATTAATTTCCATTCTATTAAATTTATATATATATATATATATATATATATATATAGCTTATCATTATTATTATTAATTTAATTCTCTAACCATTGCTTCAATATCTTTATCCAACTTTTTATATTAATGAGATATTTTACTTCATTAATTGATTCTATTAATTCATCAAAAACCATCTGCACTTATTGTTCTAAAGGATCCAAATCAAGGTCCTCTTTTTTAATCTATGTAATTAGATCAAACTACTACAGGGATATTCATGGTCTAAGATCTTTAAATTGTAGGTGCTTAATCTAATGGCTCTTCATTAACTTGAGTTTGTGATTATCCTCTTTAATTGTTTCCCATTTATTATATGTAAATATAAATAATGATAATAATAATTCATATTTTTTTGTTTTAAATAAATCATATAATATAAATGAAGTTCTCTATTAATTAATTATAGATATATAATAAATTCACATATCGTCATCACTACTTCCTTTATCTTCCTCTTACATTGATGATTGATTGCTACCTATTTAATCTTACCTAGAAATTCTCGATAAAAAATTTAACATCTGATGCATCCCCCATGAATGTCTTTGAAATTATTATCTTTATTATAAAAATTAAGCTTAAATTTCTTCAGTTGTTGACTATTATTAAGTTGATTGCCTTATCAAATCTTTTTATTAATAAACATATAGTTAATTTTTTATAGGATGAAACTTTAAACAAGATATTTCATTTTTGTATTCAGATCCCTAAATTAAAATATTTAATTACTTAAATTGTTTCAATAGGTTAACTTGATTTCTAAATATGCCAAATAAGTAAATCTCCTGTGGTAGTTGCAGCAGCTATTAAATTACTATTGAGCCATCCAAAATCTAATTGAGGAATTAGAGTATTTAGACAAGAAGTAGGTTGGAATACTTTGATCAATAATAAGTCTGATATTGAATATAAATGTAATTCTGATATTATGTCACTTATAAGTATTAAAATAAAATTAAAAGGTTTATCTACAATTGAATTCTAATTATTTTTAGTATTGGAAATTTAAGAGATTTATTTTTTTGTATATAATTCATAAAGACTAATCTTATTTTGACTTGTTAATAACATAAGTTCTTTTTATTAATGAGTATGTAATTTAAGCAATTTCTCTTCAATTTTTAATCCTCCTTTCCTTTCATTTTCATTCCATTCATAAAGCCATCCATCTTATGAAATAGTATAAATATCATATTCATTTTTTTATTTTTTCTTTTATTAATTACATAAAACAAAGTTAAAAGATTAAACTATAGCATTATGACCCTCAAGTTTATATTTTTTATCTGTTTAAATATTATATATAAAAACTGTAAAATCTTCAGATGATGTTCCAATATATTTATTGCAAGGTGAGAATATAATTGATGTTATTTTACCAGTTTGACCTGTTTATATTTTTTTTGGCTTTTATTAGTATTCTTTAGTTAAGTTATCAATTTAATATAAATAAATTTAGAGACTATGAACTAATGCTTTATATTAACCATTCAATGAAAATATGCAAAATCTAATATTTTTCTTATGTTTGATTATATTGAGTTTAAAATTACAAGAATGTTTTTCAATAATATTGTAATTTTATTCTAATTTATTATGAAAATGACAATCTAAAATTTATTTTGCTTACTATTATTAAATTATGGTCACTAATCTATTAGGTTCAATTAATCCAATTTATTTATAACATAATTATATAATTTCATCTATTAATTCTTGTTCTTATTTGACTTTAAGTTCTGGTATATAAATCATTGAAGCATATTGATACTTTTATTCTTCATCTAAATATTAATTTTAAGAATTGTACCTTAACAAAATTTAGTCATTTCATTTCTCAACAATTAGATTGCTTCCTAAACATTATGTAATTTAAGTAATTTAATATATTGTTATTCTAATACTTTCAAAATGCATTATTATTTTGTACTTTCATCTACATATTGATTCAAAATGTATTCTAATTATTTTATATCATAATTTTTTATTGATTGAGTTATTAATTCTAAACTTTAAGGATCTAATTGAATTTATGATTGTTCCTATAATTTCTAAAAACTATGATCATATTTATATTATCTTAAAAATTAGAGAATTAGTTTTATTTTTTCTTCCTTAATATTCATTTAATATTTGATTAAAAAAAATTTCTTTTTTTAATTGACCATAAATAATGGATATCGTTGGAGTATATCATTATTGTTATCATAGAATGTATTGCCATAAGTTTTGAAAGACGAAGCTACTGAAGATAAGGGAGAGATGGCCAGATTGGTATATTATACATTATTAACATTCAAAGTAAAGCTTTGTAGGAGCAATTGCAGTTGCAGATCTAGTAAAAACAACTTTAGGACCAAAAGGAATGGTTAGAATTATGAATTAATTATATAGGATAAAATATTGAAGCCAACAGGACCAGGTTAAGAAATGACTCATATTACTGTAACCAATGATGGTGCTACAATTCTTAAGTCAATGTATGTTGAGAATCCTGCAGCAAAGATTCTTATAGAAATTAGCAAGACTTAAGATGAGGAAGTAGGAGATGGTACAACAACAGTTGCAGTATTGGCAGGTGAATTATTGCGGGAAGGAGAGAAATTAATCTAAAAAAGAATTCATCCATAACATGTTATAGCTGGATGGAGAATTGCTAGAGATGTAGCCTTAAAGAGATTAAGAGATATTTGTAATGAATTATATATATTTTTGATTAGCTACTGAAAATGATATTAATTCATAAGAATTTCATGATGATTTAGTAAAGATTGCTAGAACTACTTTGAGTTCAAAATTAATCACATCAGATAGAGATTACTTTGCTGATTTATGTGTTAAAGCAGTACTTCGATTAAAAGGATCTTCCAATTTGGATTATATTTAAATAATAAAACTTCCAGGAGGAACAATAAGAGATTCTTATTTGGATGATGGATTTATTTTAAAGAAATAGATTACTATAGGATGTAAGAGAAGAATTGAGAATGCAAAGATATTGGTGGCTAATACTGCTATGGATTATGATAAAATTAAAATTTATGGTACAAAAGTTAAAGTCAATTCAATGGATAAAGTAGCAGAAATAGAAGCTGCTGAAAAGGAAAAAATGAAACATAAAGTTGATAAAATTCTTAAATATTAACCAACAGTATTTGTTAATAGATAATTGATTTATAATTATCCAGAATAATTATTAGCAGATTCTGGAATTACTGTTATAGAACATGCAGATTTTGAAGGAATGGAAAGAGTAGCTGCAGCAACAGGAGCAGAAATCTTATCAACATTTGATGCTCCTGAAAGATCATAATAAGTATTAGGTCATTGTGATTTGATTGAAGAAATTATGATTGGAGAAGAGAAAGTAAAATATATATAATATTATATATTAGATGATTAAATTTACAGGTTGTAAAAAAAATGAAGCATGTACTATTGTATTAAGAGGAGCTAGTACTCATATTTTGGATGAAGTTGATAGATCAATTCATGATGCATTATGTGTTTTAATTACTACAGTCAAAAATAAAAGAGTTGTTTGGGGTGGTGGAAATTCAGAAATGTAAATGGCAGCTGCTTGTGAAGAGGAAGCCAAAAAAGTATAAGGAAAATAAGCATTTGCAATTGAAGCATTTGGTAGAGCTCTAAGATAGATTCCAACCATTATTTGCGATAATGGAGGTACATATTCTTATAGACTTGATTCAAGGTTATGACTCAGCTGAATTAATATAAAATTTCAAAGTTGAATTATAAAAAGGCAATTATACTTGTGGTTTAAATATGACTGATGGAACAATTGGAAATATGAGTGAATTAGGTGTTAAAGAATGTTTAAGAGTAAAAGAACAAGCATTGATGGCTGCAAGTGAAGCAGCTGAATTAATTATGAGAGTTGATGACATTGTTAAATGTGCACCAAGAAAAAGAGAAAGAGCATGAAGTTAAATATAAATAATACAACAATTAATAAACAAATCATATTGCATCAAAATTTGATTAATTTAGTATTCCAACTTCTTCACTTTATTATTATTATAAAGTAGATTGAAATCGCATAGATTATTATTATTATCTTTCAAATTAAAAGCAAAGATCATCTGTTTCAATTATGTACAGCATATATGGATGATATGCTTTTAATGATAATATACAAAAGACACAAAACAAATAGATAAATATAGGTAAAACTAAATGTAACAATAGAAAGTATCCAATCCAAAATTCTTTATTATTTTCTAAGTCAATATTAATAATTGGGAAATATTAAGTGTCTGTCTGAAAAAAAATAAATGGATCAGTTTAAATGTTTTTCTTTAAAGTTCCACTTAATTCATATGAATATTAAATATTATTTTCAAATATCCATTTTACTTCAAATTAAAATAATGTACTATTATAACCCAAACAAGACTTATTTTAATCATCTTCTATAAAATAGCATTCTAAAAAAGTTTGTTATTTTTCATTTTGTATTTTAATTTTTGCAAAACTTATTTAGAAATTAGAGATATCTTTATAATATTATTTTGGTAAAACTTATATTGAAGCAATATTATTTTTAATTATCTATTAAATTTCAACTAACATTCTAACTTAATCTATAGACTTAAATTCTTTTTTATATATTATATCTTCTTCTGTCAATTATGAAAAATTATCATCAATTTAAGTAATTGCTTCTAAATCTAGACTTTAATAATATTCTGAAATAAGAAACATTTATCTTATTTAATATTTAGTCTTAATCATAAAATCTAAATTATGTAATTTTTGATGATGATCAACAAAGATTTTTTAGCTTCCATTAATTAAACTATTATTAGATTCTAATTATGATATTTATAAAGGTAAAAGAGAATTATTTAAATATAATTAAAACCAATAAAACTAAGACTATTAATATTAAAATTTTGGAACTATTGCTTAATAATGCAAAGTGCCATTTTTAATCTCTTATTCTAAACTGAAGCGAAAATCATAATAAAATTTATTTTAATTATTTACTTAAGGAATTTATCCTGTTATAAGTACTTAATCCTAAGTATTAGTGTAAACTTTTGCTATATACATAAAAAATAAATTGATTGAAACATTTGAATTCAACCAAATTTCAATTTAATTCTAACAAGTTAAAAAATGATAATGTTAAATTTAAACAAAAGGTTAGGCAGTTATTTTATTGCTTAAATTATACATTTTGTAATTTATGAAGATGTATACTTCATCTTAATTAAGGTACCTATCAAATATGAAGTTATAATTATAAGTTTAGTCTTCATCTAAAGGTAATTGGTTATTTAAGTCTAAACAAATTCCTTTACCTTTTTGGAGTCTTAATTATTATTTTCCATCTACATCTACTAATTTAATTTACTCTTTTGTTTCACAATCTATCCAATCCAAAAATTAGAATTAATAATTATCTAATGGAAAAACAAGATCTACAATGCCTTTAGCAAAAAAGAAGATGCAGAAAAATAATAATGTTATTGATCCTAACATTTATAATAATTAATTTTTATTTATATCTATCTAATTTAAAATGATATATGAACTATAGTTAGTAAATAGAAATTATGGCAGACATACATGTGTTATGATAAAAATATTATGAATTTAAAAATAGTAAAATCAAGTTTTAAAAACATCCAATTCGTAAATATAGATCTCTCTTAGCCAGCTATCGTATATGGGTACTTTAAGTATAAGAGTGGATAACAAAAAACAAATTATAGGTGCACTTAAGGATAAAATTATAAGAATAGCAATAAAAGTAAAATTATAATCTGGTTCTAAAGGTGGAACACTATCCTTTAATACTATATCAACTAAAAAAAATTAATAACTTGGAGAATTCATATTAGGCCTTTTAACAATTGCTGTCAGATTAAAAATATAACCAACATTATCTTTAAAATCTAAATCTACAAAGAATGAACAATATATTTAACGTAGACAACTATAATCATAAGATAAATCACACTTAACTGTTTCTCCTAAGCTATTTTTTATAGTTATAAATGCTTCTTCAAATTATGATAAACACTATTTAGACTCATATGGATTTAAAGATATTTAAACTTGATTCTTAGATCTAAATTTAATAGTATAGTTATAATTTATATTAATTTGATGTTATTAACCAAATATTTATTCTTGTATATGATTAGCTATCGAGGAATAATTATTATCAGAGATTTATTAAATTGTTTAAAAGTTTATATATTTATCAGGTATCTATGGGAAACAAGGTGTATAAAACTGAAATGTGTATTATGATAAAATAAGAAAACTTAAATCTTAAATCTAACTTATATCTTTAATTTTATTAATATCTAACGTACATACAAATCTAATTTTACCATCAATTTCATTATTAATACACTTCATTTACTCATAAAAATTGAAAACATTAAAATCTAAACATGAACTTACAGATTCAAGGTTTTCAAAGGATAATAAACCTTCATAAATTAAAATAGAATTATTTATCTTCTAATTCTTTGTTTATAAATTATATTATGTAATTTAATATTCTTCTCCAATAATTAAATGTGATAAACTTAAGACTTAGTTATATTCTCCCTAATTTTAATTTTCTGAAATCAAAATCAAATAGTTTTTTAAACCCAAATCTTTAGTTTTTGATATCAAATAAAATTCAATACTATTAGAACTACAAAATCGTTAATGTCTTATAAGTACAAAATTATCAGTGGCAGTTTCTTAAGTGATATAATAAATTTTGCCATCAATAATTATTAACAACAGATCATCATATTCTATTGTTCTGTTGAATACAAAATAATAGAAACTCATTGGCTCAGATAGACTAAATTAGAATAAATCATGTAGGCAAAGTGGATTGTTAGATGAAATAGGTAACTATATTGGTTATTCAAAATTATTTATAAGTGGTCGAATAGAGCTTGAATTGTTACAACTTCCCCATTTTTATTGAAAAATCTAAAATCTATTTTAAGGAAATAAAATTTTATTCTTTGTATTCACAGTTTAACACAGGAGGAGTATAAATGTAAAAATTAAATTAAACATTAAATTTATTTATTATGAACATTGATTAGCAAAAGCTAAATATTTTTTATGATGACATGTGTGGAATTTGTGATAAGTTTATAAAATTCATAATCTATTTGATAAATCCTAATATTTTAGTATTTTATTCCTTACAGAATGCAATTTAAGATGAAAAATTAAGAAAAGAATATGAATTAAATCTATCATCATTAGTAGTGATAACATAAAATAAAAAACTAATAAAATCAAAAGCAATTTTTTATTTACTTAAGTAAACTAAATTTGAATATCTTATTAAATTCATTGAATTTATTGTACCATTGTGTTTGTCAGATTAGATCTACGATTTTATAGCAAAACACAGAAATAAAATTTGTAAGATCAAAAAAAGATGAATAATTATGAGTTAATATTAAGATCATATTTCTATAAATTCTCTATTATAATTCTAAATATTAATTGTATTACTACTTGTACATAACTTTGAATAAAATATTGAAGGTCTTTCCTTTTAATTTATATAATATAATTTTAGAGAATATATAAAATTAATAACAAAATTTTATAAAAGAGATTCAAAAATTTTTTTCTATTTAATGTTTTTCCTTCGTTTAAATTTATTCGAATTATCAAAACTTCTTTTGAAAGGAACAGCTTCTTTATATAAAATTATAAATTGAAAATTAACATAAAATTTTGATAAAATAATGATTCAAATTTATTTTTAAGTAAACTAAAATGAAATAGGATAGAATTGCTAATTCAAAAATATAAAATGCTTATTATATAAGCTGTAGAAGTCTAAATTCAATAACAAAGATCTGTAAATTTGTATTATTATGTATATTAACAAATCTTATGAAATTGGTTTGTAAAATCTAAATTTCTTATACTAAATAATATATGATTTTCATTAATTACATTACTATTTATTTTAAAACTTATTGAAGCTTATTTATTTGAAATTCTTAAAATGCGGTTAAGCTATTTCTTAATTTCTTTTATTGGGAAAAATGATAATTTAATAAAATTTATTCATTTTTGTGAAAGCCTTTAAAATACAATTTATGTTGTTTCATATTTAAAATAAGGAGTGTTTGTTATATAAATCATTAAATTGAAATAAATTTATAATAAGTAAATTTTTGAGTTTAAAGGCTTAGATTAATTATAAAATCAAATTTCTATAAATTTATATTTCTCATTTAAAAATTCAATCAATTTAAAATGGGAACAGAGGAATAAGATGATAAGGTAGAATTAGTAGTTATCTGAGAAAACTGCTTCCATTAGTGATGCAATTTTATTGATGATGGCTTTGCTTGTTCTTAACCAGATTATTATAGATCTATTCAACAGAATTCAGAAGACAAGTCCCATCAAAAAATTTATCAACCCTCCTATGATCACAACGACTATTGGAATACTTGCGGGTATTGTAATGAATGAAATCGAAGCAGATAATGCAATGAACTAAATTAGAAAAGGATTTAGCTCACTCTTTTTAATTGTTCTACTCCCTCCAATACTATTCGAAAGGTATGTTTGATAATTATATATTCTTAAGCGCTGTCAATATGGAAACAGTAATAATATTGTATATATTCTCTAGTAACCATTTTTTTAGCATTTCGGCACTATTCACTTATATGCGATATTTGGGACTCTAATATCAATTTTAATAACAACAGGAATGATATATTTAGGAGGTCTTACTGGGTTTGTAACTGCTTTTCCATTAAATCTTGCATTTGTATATGGATCATTGATTTCTGCAACTGATCCAGTTAGTGTGATAGGTGCATTAAAATCAATGGAAATTGAAAAGATGTTAAGTATTTTAATATTTGGTGAAAGTATTTTAAATGATGCTGTTTCATTAACAAGTTATGAGTAATTTCAGTTAATTGATTTATTTAAGGGCTGCTCTGGATTTTTATAATGATTCTGATTAGGGAGTAGGTTGGGTTATTTTAGGGTTTTTTTTTGAATTCATATTATCAATAATAATTGGATTCTTAATAGGTTGTTTGAGTGCTTATGTAATTGAATTATATATACTAGATATTAAAAAAAAGAAATGAAGATTCATAAGATTCAATTGCAGAATTAGAAAATATTATAATGTTTATAGTTCCTTGGGTTTCTTATTTGATTGCTGAAGCTTTGGAATTTTCTGGCATAGTTAGTATAATTTTTTGTGGAATTTCTATGGCTAGATATGCTATTCCAAATTTAAGTAAATCTGGAAGAAAAGTATAAATAACACTTAAATATAATTAGAGCATTAGTAAAACATATCATAGTCTTTCATCTACATTTGAAAATTTAACTTTTCTATTTATTGGTATTGGATTGATAGGTTTTGATCTTTATTGGGATTAAATGGGAGCAGGTTTATTTTTAATTACGTTCTTTGCAATCTTATTTGCTAGATTAGCAAATATTGTATCAATGAGTTTTATTGCAAATTGGTTTAGATCAGCAAATAAAATCAATAAAAACTAGCAAGTATTTTTATGGTTTAGTGGATTTCGAGGAGCTATGGCATATGCATTATCTTTAGAAAGTTGTCTATAATTTGAATATTATGGAAACATTATGTTAACAATGACAATTTTGATAGCAATAATTAATATTTACTTTTAAGGAGCTTTTATAATACCTTTGATTGAAATATTGAATCTTAAGTTACCATAAGATGGAAATGAAGAAGAAAAACCTTAAGTTGGATGCTTAGCAAGATGTAAATATGCAATTGGTTAGTTTGATGAAAAATTTATCTCATCAAATTTAATAAAATAGTAATATTTTACTTTTATTTTTTTAGAGAAGAAAAGAAAGATATTGAATTATAAGATGTAGAAAAATAATGACCATGTAATAATAATATATTTATAATATAAGTTATTAATAACTATATTTAGAATCAAAAAATTAATGTTGCATTTCAATTAGATTTTCTCATTAAAAAACATATTTTTAGTTAATCTTTGGTTGAAATGTACATTTTTCTCTTTCTTTTTATAATGCTTCCTCCTCTAATTGTCTCTTATTAGTATTGTTTTATTAAGTTATTTTAAATGGTTCTGGTTTAGTTTTTTCTAAATGATTCTTAAAGTCATATTTTAATTCATAATGAAAGAGCTCTTTTTCTCTTTCCTATAGTTATTAAGCTTTCTTTTTTAAGTTTTCTTTATTTTAGAAGAAATTTTCAACTCCTTTCACCTTTTAACTTAAAGTTTCTTCGTCCTTCTAAAATTATTTTGTCATTGGTTTGAATGTACATTCCTTTAACTCTTAATATTACATTTGTCTAGAAATAGATAATATTTTTGTACTTTTTTAAATCTTAGATTTTCCTTTCTTTAAGTTCTTTTTCTAATTCCATATTTTATCTTATTAAATTTTTATCATATTTAGATTTCACATGTTAATATTATTGAGATTTTTTAGTTTAAGGATAATAACTAAATGATTACTTGGATTCTTATTCCTAGGAATATTAATAAATAAATTACTTCTTTTAATCTATTTAATTTTTCTTATCTTTCTGGATTGTAGGCAAGATCATCTAGGGATCTTTTTTATGCAATAATAGATGAAATATGATTAATTTAAGGTTTAAAAGTATATTATTGATAATATGCTTATTGAATTTATTCTTTTAGTATTTGATTTTTTTCATAATCTCTAACTCCAAGACGATTAATTTTATCTGACATATTCTCTTAAAGTCTTTCTTCATTGCTTTCCATAATTAATTCACTTGTTTTATTAATTTAAGGTTTAAAAGTAACATCAGAATTTTTGATAAATTCTTAGATTAGTTTTTCTTTTTTTTCTCTCATAAAATCAGCCATCAAATATTAGGTTTAATAGACTTAATTAATTTATTGTATAGGTTTGGTTGTTGGATTGATCTATGGGTTAAATGTACATTCATCTTTTTCTTAGATTTCATTCTTTTAATTTATTTTTTTTTATAATTTAATTGCTGCATCTTCCATTAATCTTTCAACTACTGACTTTGAAGTTTACTTCTATTCTGCTATTAAAATAGATCTTTAAGAAATCTTAGGTTAATATGTAACATCTGATTATTATTAAAGTTCTTATTGTTTTAAGAATAATTCTTCTTATTTTTTTTTCATAACTTCATCAATTCTTTCATATAATGGTTTCATGAATTATTTTTCTCCTTTCAACACATTACCAATTTAACTAATTTCTGGTTTAAAAGAGAACTATTCTGAATTAATATGATCAAATTTTAATTATTCTTTTCTTTTTTTTTATTCAATTCCATCTTAATATAACCTATCAGCCACAGGCTAATCAGTGTTTCTTCTTGATGCAATATCACTAATTATTGGTTTAAAAGTACAATGCTATTCTACCAATTCATCAATATATTTTCTTTTCTCATTTTCCCTCTACTCTACTTGATTTCGTTTATCTTCCAATAATCTATGCCAAACTTCTTCTTTTGAATATTCCAATACTTTTTTTTATTGTTATCTAGGCATATCATAAGATTTTGGTTAACAACAAGGTCTTTTAATTTTTGGACTGTAAGTTGAATTAAATTCTTCCATCAATTTATTCAAATATGTTTTCTATTATTCTCCTTCTTCACATTCCTCTTCATGAGGTTCAGAAATGAATTGTTCTCTATGATCAGACTAACTTCTTTAGATTCTCATCATATATTCATGATTGAATTCTTTATTTTTTTCTAACTATTATTAGAGTTTTTAAGCTGTAAATTCAAGAGTTTAACTTTAAATCTTAGACTCTTTTTTGCTACTACTAAGAATCAAATCATCCCAATATTGGGGAGATTATTATTCGATCATCATAACGAATTTTGAATTAAATTAATAATATAATGCAATCTGATTTTAAACATAAAGAGATTCTTACAAAAAATAGAAAAAATAATCAATTATTATTAAAAATTGAAGTAATAGTTTATATCTAATCATTTACATATTTCTGCAAGTATCCACCTTTACTATTAAATATTATTATGTTTTTTTAAAGTAAATTTCACTTTTTTAAATCTTAACATTTGTTAAAACCATTGATATTAACAGAAATCTTTATGATCAAACTTAAATTAGATATTATTTAGGAATCTTAAAAAGAACAAAGACATTTGTTAGCATAAAAATAAATAATTATATTATGTCTTGATTATTATTTATTATATTATTAATGATTCACGGTCCAAATTCCCCTTTTTCAGGAGCTTTTACTATTGGTAAACGATATGAATGTATAATCTTTCTCTATTCCTTAGCTGCCATTTACTAAACTAATCCAAACCCAGGGTAATGTATGCTATTGACATAGTCCAAATCACTACTCTATTAATCCAATTGATAAACCCATAGGGTTCAGATTTTCAAAATCGAATAGAAAACCCTTATATTAACGTAGTATTGCCCCAGATCCCGGAGCATACGATCTGAAATTTTAAGTCTTTAAAAATATAACTTAATTAGACAATCTCCTAAAATTCACCTTCAGCTGTATTTACAACAGCCAAAGATCACTAGTAAAGAGGTTTAGAAATTGGTCCTGGATCTTATAATTGGACAGATTAAAAAAAAGCTCCAGCATTTACATTTCAAAGCAAATTCGATTCTATTGGTAATCAGATACTTTCAAATCCTGGCCCAGGAACTTATGACATTAAACATTACCATACACATTAACCCCAAAATAAGGGATTATCAACGAGTAAGAGGGCTAATCAGTTAACATCAAGTACTCCAGGACCAGGATAGTACGACGTCGAAATACCTAAATTCTCAGCCAACATTAAGTATATTTTAATTTCTAACAGATTTCCAAAATCTTAGAGAAGTTTAGAATAAAGTTAAATTGGGCCTGGCCCAGGAGCATTCGATTTGGCATTGCCTAAACAATAAGGCATAACATTTGGAGTCAAAGGGAATCAACAAATTGAAAAATAAAATGTTCCTGGCCCTGGTAGTTACAAATTAAAATCATTTGTTGAATATGATGAAAGAGATTTAAAATAAAATAAAGTAAAAGGAGTTAAGTATAGATAATTTACTCAAAACTAGAATTGGTACTTCAGAAAGAAGTAGTTAAAATTTACTCAAGTTTGGACCATCTCCTTTAGATTATGATGTGTCCAAATATAAATATCCTACCAGACATGCTAGGTAAAAGGATAAAATATAATTTTAGTTTCGGAAGTGCAGTCAGATAATCGATTGTTCCAAATGAGAATACTCCTGGCCCTGGATCATATATGGTTGATTCCAAACTTCGACCTAATGGACCTATCATACCAAAAGCATCAAAAGATTTTAGCTCATTAGATAATGCTCCTGTATTTTGTAAAATTAACATTTTTAGGGTCCTGGAAAGTACAATCCTAACACATCAATTTCATTAAATAAAGGACCCAGCTATCACATTGCTGGCAAATATGAAAAGCCATTAGAAAGCAGTTTGGTAGGACCTGGAAGATATAATATTTCAAGGAATATCAATGATGGTCCTAAATATACATTTCCAACCTTAGAAAAAAGTATGGACAACAAATCTTTAGATATAAATTAGTAATTTACTTTAGTTAATAAAAAATAGATCCCATTGTTATGAAATCTAATAAACCATTGGATATATACCTCCGTACAACTTACATAATTGAATAAAATCAAAACGGATTAATTTAATATATAATTATGAAAATTATTGTCTTGATATTCTTGTTAGGGGCCTTTGCTTCAAACATCAGACATAAAAAAGAAAGGTTTTTTATTATTCTTATCATTTAGACACATTGATTCATAGACATTATCACACCAATAATAAAACACTAAAGGTATTTGGATAATAAATAAATATGCTTAGAATTATTATAAGTCACTGATATAGACAACTAATCTGAGACATTTGTTGAGGAAACTCTTAATCAATAATAAAATCTAGAGGAACCCTAACCATTATACAATAATGATGGCAGATCACCTGATATGGGTTTGAACTAGGTTGACAATAATGATGCTCCAGAAGCCCCTATGATGGCAGATAATGTTTTAGATTATTCAGCACAAGAAGAAGTGATTAGAGGTGTATCACTGATATAAGTTGGGGAAATTGATGCATTAGCTGATATTGACACTAGCATGCCATTATTAGATGAGGATTTTAAATATGATGAATAAGCCCTTTAAGAAACTCCTTTAAATATTGATGTCATAGAAGAAGTACCTTAATAATAAGAATAAGAGGTGAATTAAATTGATGATTAATTATAATAAGAGATCGAAATAGAAGATTAGCAAGATTAACTAATAAATGAGGTTTAATTACTCTAAATTGGAGGATTCTATTATTGATTTATTCAAAAAAAAATATAATATTAAATTAATTATTCATGAATAAAATCAATATTCCAGCTACATCAATCAATTTTAGAAAGTAGAAAACTATGAACAATTAAATCAAAATTGATTCATCAAATGCTTTCAATCACAATAACTCTATTATTTAAAGAAAGGATGATAAATAATAATAATCTTAAATCTTGTAATCTCACACAGAAAGGGCCAAGATAAACTCTATAAGTAGAGAGAAAATTTAAATAAACAAAAAGTAATAATAACTAAATTTTATTTTAGTTTAGCTCTCATATTAAAACTAAAATAAATAATTCTAGTGTTGATAAGGTGTTGAATAATTAAAGAACATAATCATCAATATCGCGTTAATCAAATTGTAGTCCAACATCAAAGAGAACAGCTTCAAAAAATAAGTTATCAATCACCCCTTAAAGAGATAAGTCAAAATAACAATTTGAATAAGAATAAAAAAAGCAGTTATCATCATAAACATAGAGATAACAACAACAACAGTAATAATAACAATAATAATAATAATAATAATAATAATAATAATAATAATAATAATAATAATAATAATAATAATAATAATAATAATCTAAAAAAACAGATAGGTAACATACTCCAAAATCAACAAACAAATAAATGTTTACATCTCCAAATGTAAAACTTCTTTAGAGTAATATGATAAATAAAATGAAACCAAGCTTTGAAAAAGGAAAATCCTTACCTTTTAAAAAAGAGAGTGCTCCTGTAAAACTAAATACTCAAAATACCAATTAGATATCATCTGCTTAAAAATCAAATAGAAAACCTAATAAAATTTTGAGTTAAAGTAAGGAAACTCCCTTTCATTATGAAGAATTTACATTACAAGCTCCATAAACTAAGAATGTTTAAACTGACGGATTATCTGTAATTTTTAGGTTTATTAATTTAGTGTTTAGTTTTACCAATATTTTAAGAGTCAAAATATTATTAAACTTCATTAATTCATTTTCATTATGAACAAATAAAATAAAAATAGTCCCCTTTCAAATATTATTTTGAAAGAGAATATTAAAAAGAAGCACTGATAGAATATTTTAAGGAATTATTTCAAGAGCATTTTTTATAAAATTATAACTGTCTTTAATATTGCAAAAAATATACTTAAAATATATAAAAGAATAAGAAGTGTGAATTTTTACCAGGTCATTGTCAAGAAATTAGAACCTTAGTGTTTGATTTAGATGAAACTTTAATTCATTGCAATGATAATAATAATGACCCTACTGACCATGTAATATAAATATAATTACCAAATGAAGGGACAGTAGAAGTATTTAAAGTTAGTAAAATTTAGGCTAGGATTAACATAAGACCATATTGTTAATAAATGTTAAGACTGTTATCGAGTCATTTTGAATTAATGCTATTTACAGCTTCATATCAATATTATGCAGACAAAGTGCTTGAATTGATAGATCCTGATAGAACTATATTTCAATATAGGTTTTATAGGGACAGTTGCATAGAGGTTGAGGAGGGTCTATTTGTTAAAGACTTGAGGATAATTGGGAATAGAAAATTAGAAGTAAGAATTAGTGATATATAATCTAGAATATTTTGCTAGTTGATAACGCATCTTATTCTTATTGTTATTAATTAGATAATGGAGTACCTATAATTCCATTTTATGATAATAAATATGATAAGGAATTGATATTTTTGGCTGATTATTTGATCAATTTGAAGTAATCTGAATAATGGACTAAGTAAAATAGAATGCACTTCCGTACATATTTTTATTAGATTTGCTCTAATGGAGAAGAATGTTTGAAAGAGTTATTTCAAGCACATGACATTGTTTAAGATTGATATATTTTTATTAAGTATTTATATATGGTTAAATTATGTTTTTTTGTTAGGAATTGGTTGAGACTCTGTAATATATATAATAAATAAATTAACTGCAAATCAAATGAATTACGAAGCATTACTTGAGGAACTAGGATTGGATGGTACTCCATAAAAATAAATAAGCAAATCACCATAGAATAATACAAGAGCAAGTGATAATACTTACTTTACCAAAACACCTGAAACAAAACAAAAAAAAATAAAATTAATATTAAATGTAAATTTGAGTTCCAATCAAGTGGAATAGTTAATGATTTATTAAGATGATGATCCAAAGTTGAAAGTATCAGAATTTTGTCATTTGCACTAATTAGACAAGAATGCATAAAGTGTATTAATAAAATAGATCAACAGCAATACAAATAATGAAAATTATCAAAGTTAACATAAATTACAATAGTAAAACTATTATTCTAAACAATTACAATCATATTCAACAAAAGAGTCAGAATAACCAGGGGAAAGACTTTATCAATTGGCTTAAAAGAAAAAAGAATAAAGAGAAAATCAAATAAAATAGTATTAAACAGAAAAATAAGAATAAGAGTAATAATAATTATAATCGACTCCTAAATTAAGCAAGCAAACAAAAATATATTTGGTATATATTAATTCATTGACTAATTTAAGGAATAAGCAGGATATCGTAAGAATGGTTATATGAGAGAGAAAGGAACTTTAAAGGACAAATAAATTTAATAGGTATTTTTGGATGAATAAGGGAAAGAGTATAATTTTGTACCTTAAATAAATGAATTGTAAGATATCAATATTATTGATTAGATCAAAATAAATGAGTCATTATATTAGAGAGAAACAACATTATGAAAACGTATTTGATGAATTATATGAATAAGCAAGAAATAAAATGTACTCACAACCAGAATATGATATTCCTGAATGTACTTTCAAGCCTTCAGTGAATTAGAATATTAAGATAGATGAAGATTTTTTAACTAGGATGGAAAAGAAATAGGAAGAATAGAAAGAAAAAAGAGAATTAATTAAAATGAAGTATGAAAACGTTGACTTAAAAACTCGGCAATTACTATATCGACCTAAAATATGTAGAAGTCCTTATGCTTAAACATAATCAGAAAAACGTATATGAATAGATTAAATCATAAGCCATTCATGAGAAGCTTTATTTATAGTCCAAGTTAAAGTCAGAAAAATTACAGTAAATGTCTGAATAAAAAATCATGGAGGAAAAAGAATCATAAAATGTTAGATTGAAAAATGAATTGTCAGAGGATATCGTATTTCTTTAAAGAAAAAAGATCCTAAAACAATTATTTATTGAAATGGATTCAAATAAAGATGGTTAAATATAATGTTCTTATGAAGAAATTAATAATCTATCTCCTAATATTATATAAACTCTTTGGCCTGTATTAAAATTATTATAGGAATAAAAACGATCATTAGATTTTGATGACTTTTTTGAAAATGTTTATGAATATTGTATCAATCTACCATAAATCTAAAAAGATATCATTTTCAAGAAGTCTAAAAATAATTATATTACTATGAAAGATTAAGATTATACTTTCACTCCAAAGACTAATAAAAAATCTAAATCCATGAATACAGTTCATTATCCTAGTTGTAAATGTGAAATATGCTCATAAATTGCTATTATATAAAGGCAATTAAATGATTAATGAATAATATATATATATTACATGATTTAAATAATATCTTATAATTAAATAATTGTTCATAAATGCAAATTTAAAGATAAAGAATACATCAAATAAATAAAATATTAATATAATTATATGTCTGCTAACTGTATTCAAGAAAAAAAATTTGCTTAGATGAATGAAGATTTAACAATTGATAATATGGACTAATCAACAACTAATTAATCAAAATAAAGTAATGCTACACTTTCCATGGCTTTTCCAAATACTGATAACAACTATAGATACAAACCAATAAAAACTCAAAGTATTTTTAAACAATATAATAGGAAGTCTGTTGTCACTTACTCCATAGATCAGTTAAAGAAGAAGTTCGAAATCTCTGATTGAACAAACATATGTTATTGAAGAAGAAGTATTTACATTATTTAAATATTAGCCATAAATTTAAGGATAGAATGAAGTATTTCTTATTTATTGGTATGATTAAAATATTGATCATAAATATGAGATGATTATCTAAGCACATAATAATATTACTATAGGTGATTTAATTCAACTTTTTATCTAACAATTCAATGAACAAAATCAATATTTATAAACTCCGTTTTCATCTGATGTTCATAATACAAATATTTATGAATTATTCATACCAAAAAAGAAAAAAGGTAACCCAAATGAGGATTTTCCAGGTATTATGATATAAGTTATTTTTAGCCTTCGCTAATTAAACAATGCTTAATTAAACCAATTTAAAAGAATTTTCCTTAAAGATAACAACTAAATAAATAACAAATTATTCGTCAACACTTTTAAATCCCTAGAATTCCTCAGCATCTAAATCTAATACTAAATAGAGATAAAGTCTAACAAATTCTAGTTAAAAAAAGAAGAAAAACTTTTTTTAGAAATTATTTTTCTGTTGCAATCATCAAGCAGAAGAATTTTGAACTTAATAACTTAAACTTGTTTAATGCATTTATATAACAAATATATCTAAAATCTAATTTAATATAATATAATTATTGTTTCTATATTGATTGATTCTGATATCCTACCTTGATTCTATTTTATTTAACTATATTTTATATTATTTTATAAATAAAAAATACATAAATCTGTTTAAAATATGAAAAAGAAAAATTTTAGAATTCATTTAATTTTCTTGCTGATTTTAATTGGCTATAAATCTTTATAAATTGAAAATTTATATATTATTTTAAACAAATATGATAATATTCATAAACTTAAAGACTAATTTAAATGTGGAAAAATAAATTAACAAGCTCTAAACTTTAAGTTAGGCTTCTTTTATATATATGTTGATTATTCTCTTTAAATAAAATAGAATATATTATCTCATCTATCATTTTTAAGTTATCTTCAGTATAAAATATTTTTACTGTGTAAATTAAATAAAAATTATATGAAATCATAATTTTCAACTATTTCAATATTTAGTGATTTTTGGAGTTATAATTGTTATTTACTATCATTATATTTAGACTTATATTTTGATTCTTGTACATAATTGGAAATTCATTTTTATAATTAGACATAAGTTAAATAATAGAAATTGGAATAAGAGAGAGATACTATAATCTGAGATAGTATTATTACTTTTGATACAAATTGAACAGAATTAGGAATATTATTTTCATATAATGAATTCTCAATATTGATAATAATAATTATAATATATTTAAAATTATACTAAAGAATATATGAGTCGTGTACTTAGATATTAAAAAAAGAAGAAAGATGATGGTAGATAGTTAATTAATTGATTAGGACCATTACTTAAAATAAATTTTGCAAAATTTCCTAATTTACCAAAAATAAGGGAAGAAGAAGATAGATTATAAGGTTTTATTAATTCTTTTGAATCTGATAGCTAGTAATTTTCAATCATCAAAATAGGTTGTCATTATAGGAGAGATCATGTTAATTGAGAACAATGACTGCATCTTTTTCTAGAGGATTAAAAACTACTTCAAGTTCAAGAGACAGAAAAGAGTAAAAAAAGGTAGATGAGAATTATACTATTTATGGATTATCAAAGATAAAAACAGCAAGAAGTCCACTATAATCTTAAAGATAAACTCCAAATCCATATGAAACTGAATAAAAATTGGAGCGATCAAATGAAGAGTGGTTTTAATAGTCTCAAATTTCAGAAGCACCTTAAGCAAAAGTACTATTTTTCAATTAAAGAAAAAAGTATTACTAAATAAATATATAGATCTTTCTTATGGGAAGATGCTAAAGTCATAAATTATAATCAGGATACTTAAAAATTTCTAGTTTAAAAGTATCCTGATGGATAAACAAAATCAGTTGATAGACTATCAATAAAATTTATAAATTAAGATGAAGAATTATTTAGAGTAGCCACAGTAAGAAGGTTTAAATTTAAATTTATTAAATTTTAGTTAGAATATTAGATAACATTAAAAGGAAGAAATGAAAAGGCTTAGAGAGATAAATGCAATAAATGATAGTGAAGTAAATAAAGCTCCTTAAACTTTAATTAACTCACTTTTTAACAGATTTTAATATTCAAAAAAATAGCATCTTGTTGAAACTTTACTTGAAGAAGTGAATTAAAACTATTTACTATTTTAAAAAAAATGCTCATTCATTGAAGATGCTTCTATTTATAAATAGGTTGTTCATATTGAACAAAGATATCAATATTATTCTATATTATAAAATAATCTTGAGAAAGAAGCAATATTATTAAGAAAAGATGGTTATAAATCTATGAAGTAATTAATGTTTAGATTAAATTAAATCAATATTGAAATAATACATTAAAGAGATTTTAAGTTTCCAATTATATTAAATAAATTTGATTCTGCTCTTGAATTGGAAGGAAAAGAGATTAAGAAAGAAATTAGAAGAGAAAAATTCTATATATAATCAGATTTGTAAGATATTTTAGGTTAAAATTATAAATTTGTAGAATCAAATCGAAAACGATATTATGATTGTGGGTTGTCAAGAATATTGACTAAAGTTGATCTGATGTATTAATAAATTATAAAAGAAAAGGTTCTACATTAGTTTAATTACACAAAAGAATTTTATGAAAGTTTTATACTAAATTCTCAATTTCAAAAGTCTTTAAATTAAAAGCCATTACTTTAATTGCATGTTTAATGTATAGTGCAAGTACCTGTAAAAAAATCAATGAGAAAATTAATAAAAGATTCGATAAAAGGAGATGAAGAGATAATTTATATAGAGCCAAATTTACAATCTATTTTAACAGTCTTAATAAAGCCTTTTGATTACCTTTATCAATTAATAATAGAAGGTTGTTGTATTTAAAGTGAAATAATGACTTTATTATTATTGGAGAAAAAAAAACTATCAACAGTGATGGATTTTCCTTAATTAAATTCTATAAAAGAATAAACAATCACATAAATTTCAAATGAATATAAATCTTGTGATGATATTGTAAAATACTATAATAAATATTCACATTATTTAAAAGCATTCCGATCAAAAGATTTATATGATATATTTGGTTTGGATCCAAAGGAAGCAGCCATTTTAAGTTAAATGAATTTTTAATCAATAGAGAGTTATTTATATGAATTAAAGGAATCTAGATTAGATATTCTATCATACCATTAAAATTAAAAAAGATTTGGTTTGTTTTCTTTAAATATTTATGAACTTAAACACACTTTAGTTGAAAGAATTAATGAATAATAGACATAGATATTTAATGTAAATTTTATATGTAAATTATATAGAAAATCTAAGAGATTTTAAAACATAATATATAATAAATTAAATAATAATTTTAAGTAATGAGAGATAAGAGTCAATAAATTCCATAGACAGAATAAGAATTAATGGAATTAAAATTATTTTTAGGTGAAATTAAAGTAGATTTCTCAAGAATGTAATTTGAAGTTCAATTTGTGTAAATAAATAATTAATATTCCTTTTTAGAGAATAATACTTAAATTTATTTGAAGAATTTTATGTAGCTTTTGACTTTTAGTTAGTAATTGATTATTATGAATTAATCTATTTACCTAAAGATATTTCTGATATTATTGAAGCCAATAAAGCAGTTCTAAAATAATAAGAAGATATATTTTTGAGAAGATTACATAATGACAAATAAGAATTCATAGCCAAAATTTTATAAATGTAAACAACACTGACAAAAATTAAATCTTTTTCCTAATATGAAAAATTGAAGGAATATATTATTGAGATTAAAAAGTTTTAAGAATAAATAGAGAATTCTAAAGAAATAATATCTGAATTTAATCTTAGAGAACTTACATTTCAAATAGGTGTAACTGTTTATAGAGAATTTGATAATTTAGTCCATGAATTCTAACCTTATTATTAATTTTGGGATTTAGCAGTATAATTATTATATGTTATAATTAGTAAAGATATGATGTATAAAAAGAATAATGGTTATCTATGTCAATTAAATAATTAGATCATTTAGATATGTAATTATTGATGCAATAATTTAATAATGAAGCTATCTAAATTTTTAATTATTTTACTGATATTTTAGATGACAATGCATAGAGTTTAGTAAGAAATTTAAGAAGATAATTGGATTAATTTAAAGATAATATTTGGATAGTTGAATCATTAGCAATAGAAGCATATAAAAGAAAACCTATTTTCTGGAAGGATTTATTTAGAGAATGTTCATTTCCTTAATTAGAAAATAAGGAGGAAATTACAATATCTAATTTACTTAAAAAAGGTATATTAAATTACAAAGATATTGTATTAAAGTTGTCTTCTTAAGCTGAAAAAAGTTGGAGTGTTGAGAAAAGATTGAATGAGATGTTTGATAAATTGTCAATAATAGAATTAGAATTATAAGTATATAAGGATACATTTATATTTAAAAACTATGAGGATGTTATGGCTTAATTAGATGAATAATTAAATGTATTAAATATTCTTAAGGCATAACCTCATGCTAAGTTTGTTATTATAAAGGCTGGTTAATTAGAAAATAAAAT